GAGACGAGTTCACCGGGGCTGCTATAGATCACTGCAAGCTGCACAGAGGGAAATAACCGGGTTGCTATATCACGCTGGCAGCTGCAAGGAGGGAAATAACCGGCTTGTATAGTCACGCAGCTGCAAGAGGGAAATAACCGTGCTGCTGGCCTATAGTCACTGGCTGCTGCAAGAGGGAAAATAACCGGGCTGCCTATAGTCGACTGCTTCTGCCAAGGAGGGAATAACCGGGCTGCTATATGTCCACTGCTGCTGCAAAGGAGGGAAATAACCGGGCGTGCTATAGGTCACTGCAGCTGCAAAGAGGAAATAACCCGGCTGCTGCTATAGTCCCACTGCTGCTGCAGAGGGGAAAAGAACTGGCTGCTGCTATACGTCCCTGCTGCTGCAAAGGAGGAAGATAACCGGGCTGCCTATCAAGTCACTTGCTGCTGGCAAAGAGGGAAGATTAACCGGCTGCTTAGTCCACTGGCAGCCTGCCAAGAGGGAAATAACCTGGGCTGCTGCCTATAGCACTGCTGCTTGCAAGGAGGGAAATATACCGGGGCTGCTAATAGTCACTGCTGGCTGCAAGGAGGAAATAAGGACACGCGTGCTGCTATCAGTCACTGCAGCTGCAAGGAAGGAAATAAACCGGCTGCTATAGTCACTGCAGCTGCAAGGAAGGGAAATGAACCGTGCTGCTGCTATAGGCACTGCTGCTGCAAAGGAGGGAAATAAACCGGCGCGTCTATAGGTCAACTGCTTCTGCCCAAAAAAAAATGGAGGGAAATAACGCGGGTGCTATAGTCATGCAGACTGCAATGAAGAGGAAATAACCGGCTTGCGTATAGTTCACTGCTGCTGCAAGGAGGAAAATAACGCGCTGCTGTAGTCACTGCTGCTCAAGATGGAAATAAACCGGGCTGCTTTATAGTCGCCATGCAGGTCGCCCCTGCTCAAAGAGTGGAAATTAAACCGCCGGACTCAAGCCGTCTCGACTGTAGTCTACCTGCGCCATGTCGCATGAACCCAAAGCGAACGGAAATTCGTGTGACCGCTCTCGCGATGCGTTGCGTTATTCATTGGTACTCATGGTGCTGCTTGCAACAGACTGGGGAATAACTGTCCGGGGCCGCGGTGCTTATAAGTGCACTGCTGCTGCAAGGCAGGGAAATAACCGGGTATGAGGCTGCGCTAAGCAGTATTATATGTTTCACTGTAAGTCTGCAATAGGGTAGCGGGATAAATCAAGCCTTGGGGCCTGCTGCTAGTCACCTGCTGTCCTCCTGCTCAAAGGAGGGAAATAACCCGTGGCTCTTCGCTTGTTAGTCACTTATGCAGCTGCGCAAGGATTGTCTGCGAAATTAACCGGTGCTCTATTTAGTCCACTTGCGTGCTCTAGCAAGTGCGAGATACTCTATCCCGCGGTCTCTGCTATCATGTTTTCACTTCTCTTCGCCTTTGTCAAGGAGGGGACATTTATAACCTGCGGTCTCTCCGCTTATAGTTCATTGCAGCTTGCCAAAGGAGGAAATTAACCGTGGCTCTCTGCTACCCTCATCTGTTCCTACCTGCTCACGCTGTCTCATCTGGAGGAACATTATACGGGATATCTGCCTCTATTAGTCCACCTGCTGATGCAGTGAGTCGTGGCTCTCACACTATAATCCCGGCTGCCATTTAGTCTACTGCCTTTGGCTGCCTAAGCGAAGGATATAACTTAACGTCGCGGCTGCTATAGTTCACCTTGCTACGCTGCCAATGGGAACGTTGACGTATATACCCACGGGGGTCTTCTCTGCCTTTTATTACTCACTGCTGCTGCAAAAAGGGAAAGGAATGCGTGACGAGCGCATGTTTATTTCCAGTTTTTTTCTGGCTCTCGATTTAAAACCCTAGGGAGAAATATATTGTAATTGTCTCTATGTGTGATCGAGGGCACCGTGAATTGTCACGCACATACGTCTTTTTACAGCACATGCAAATTATACATTCCCAGTGTAAGATGAAGATTGAGAATTTTGATCCCCATCTTACATGTGAATATATCAAAGTTCTGAATGTGACATCATTTGTGGACACTATAATATAGGATGCAGGAGTTGTCATTAACGGATATATACCTTTGTAAAGACGATTAGATTTAGAATAAAGACAATTAACAATGAATATCTACGAAATAATGCAATTACTGCCAGTGAAAGAGCATGCACAAGTTGGCGGCATAGCAGTTATAAATCCTCGATAAGGTACTGTAACATTTACAGTCACCTGCATTCCCCTGCAGTTCAAATTTATAGCAATAATTAACTCGTAAATTGTGTGTCGTTTCAAATAACAGGGATTGTAGCAAAATGTACCTTTTACGGGTACTAAAACTACCTTCTTAAAACATCCATTTCATGTAAAAATACTACTTAAAAACATTCATTTACACGAAATCAGATGTCATAAAAACCCATCAGAATGTGGTACAATGTACTTTTACACAGATTCTGAATGTCACATACGGCCACTCAGAAATTTTTCGACAAAAGCCACGTGTGAATGTTCAGCAGCAGAGGGTGAAGTCTATATATTGTGAACAATAATGAAGCCAATACCTGGATGTTGGTGAGAAGAGACCGGCATAAATGTTGCATGCCTGCGGACTCGTAAACAGGTTCTGGTTGTTCAGCTGCGCCTGCTGCAGCAGCAGTGATGACACAAGGCTCTCTGTGGAATAAGATTATAAAAGATAACAAAGTTCGCATGTTTACATGTTCGTACATTTATATTAACATTTGATTTACAAAAACTTGTATGTATAATTATTATAATTATTATTTTGCTCTCAGTGCATGGCTGCATGGTAAGCTTTGACGTATTAGGCATTGCATGGCTGCCCACTCATCCCTCCATACCCATGGGTGTATGCAGGGGGGAGGGGGTCGTGAGGGTCGTACGACCCCCCCAAAATTTCAAAAGGTCCACATTTTTTCCAAAGACATTTTTTTTAGATGGCCTTTTCACAATGACATAAATGAAAAAGCATAATTGATCAGGTACCAGCAATGAGTCCAAAGACCTTGCCAATTGCGTGACGTAAATCTATTCCAATTCCAGCAATTCTGAAACTGAGCCGTTTTTTTAAACAAAATTTTTTGTTTAAAAAAACTGAGTTCAAAAAAGAGAGACAAACACTCTGACAAAGACAAAGACAAGACAAGATCAAGACAAGACAAGATCAAGACAAAGACAAGATAAACAGTTCAAAAGACTGTTTTCACCCGAGTCAGAAAAACTGATCAAAAAAATTTTTTGGTTTCAATTAAATTGTATTGACATTTTAATCACATCTTGCTGTTATTTCATTGTGAAAAGGTCCAAAAAATTATGATCACGACCCACCCAGAAAAAATCCTGGATACACCCCTGATACCACAATGTCAGTCAGCAATGACAATATAACTAGGGTGAAGTACGCGGTGAAGTCAGGTGTAAAGGATTACACATACCCTGTGCGAGCTGTTCCCGGTATTTCGACTCCGCATTCATTCCTGTGATGTCCAGCGAATTGTCGAGCATTGCGTTGATTCGCTTCATGATCTCAGCATTCCCACTCTGTAACAGCAATTAACCGAGCTACTTAATTGCTGTAGTTTATCAAAAATCTAGCCGACATCGATGAAAACAAATGATCGAACCAGGCAGTTTCTGGCATATGTCACTAATAAATTACAATGTCTATACCTTAGACACTGGAATTTCAGCTAGGAGCACTGGAATTTGGCTAGGAGATTAACTGGAGACAGATTGGGGAGCACCTAAAAGGGGGTTTAGTTAATTGTAGCAATTCGGAGTTAAATACACGTGTCATATATGCGGTCCTGATACACAGACTGTAACAGAGGTAAAATCTATCAGTTCGGATAGATTAGATGATCTGTGAAAACACAGCCTGACTATGTTGAGATTGTCAGAATTTTAAAAGACATGTCCACTAGGCAATGAAGGCACGTTAATTGGAGGATTTATGAAAAAGGCAGAATTTAAAAAAGCAGAAATTATTCTACTTTTATTTGTGCTCTGTAGGGTTCTTCTTACATATATACTATCGACTCACCTCTCTTATATACCACCTAATTAAAACTTCTGCCTGCAAAAATATTATAATTATAACGTCTTCCACACGAGTCCATATTTTGTAGATTCTATTCTACACTTCTATTCTTCATAGACTGATACTGTAGTGTTCTCGGGATTTTCCAGTGACCGCAGTAACGTTCACACCACGACCACGTCACCTATAGCATGGCATTACACCATTGTTGCCACCACCTCCAGCCACCCGTAAGTAATCGCACGCCTTATTATTGTATTAACCTAGACTTCCTGCCTAGACGTGTAGCTGTCAGCCAGACAAGTGATTCACTGCCACTTGTCCACGTGCCGCGCGTGCGTAGATACTTTTTGCTACTTTGAAGTTTACCGCTTCTGGCTGCGTGGGTGGAAGAGAGTTCATACATGGAGCAAATCAATAATTATACATGACGCGTGTATGAACGTTAGTCTGGGTCTACACCGTGTCTGTCTGGCGGCATAAACTTTGATCGCGAATAAGCAAAACAACGCACGGCAAAACCTCCAAAACGTACGGCATTGCTAAAATTAGTGTGCTTAATAAAACATCTAAGAAAATCGAGTCAAGTGTCAATAGTCGAAACAACTACTGTGACTTAAAAACCCATGGGCACACTTTCAAGTCTTGTTTGATGAGATATTTCACCTGATGAGAGATCACTCACTCGCGTACGTAGCTCAGTTTTAGACAAACGCTGGCATATGTGGGAGTAAACTAAATGGGTGCATGGGGGGTGGTGCGTGTGCTGCCAAATCAGGGGTGGCACCGGAGACTGCCCAGTATTGATGCACAGATCCACAGCAGGTGGAGCTAAGATATTTGCTGGTAAGAAGGGGGTACTAATTAACAGTCCATGACAGTAGTAGGGGGAGGGGCGGATGAATTAGCACATATTAGAGTAGGTGCTCGAATTTTTCAAATAACCAAGGTTTAAAATTAAAGCTAGGTTCGTGTGCATTGTGTGGAAAATTATTGTTATATTTACAACTATCGATAGATATCATGTATACAGATAATTACATCATGTTGATTGTTTTTACGTTTCTTTGACTAACGAAGCACTATAGATGAAGTGACTGAATTTTTTTCCAGATTTCCTGAAGAGTTGCTATATTTTACCCCATCAGGGGAAGCCTCACTGACGGGGGGGGGGGGCGGCGGTATGGTGGTAGGGAACAGTTACTTGTAATATATGATGATATATAATAATTACTCTTATCACTATGTCAGAGTATGATAAACAAACACTTTCAATCAATTTTAGCATGTAAAATGCATTATTTTGTCCATCAGCATTTAACAGGGGACAGATATCATCAAGGACATATTAACAAGAGCTTGATACTTAATTATTAATATGCTCTTGATATAATTAAATTACACCTTATCATTGAATTCCTGAGACTGATGGGAGTAGATTCTATCTATAACTATAAAAAGGGCATGAATGGCAACTAATATGCATTGTGCTGATCATAAAGTTCTAGGCGCACACAAGGTAAGTACCTGTGATGATGGTACACTTGCACTGCAAAGACTGGCCAGTGATGGTCCACTGCCTATGTTGTTCAGTGGCAGTGACGACGACGGCATGGAGCGAATCTCGGACCTCACAATCTCTGGTGTCGCCGGGTCACCACAGGTCAACGTGCTCAACGGCTACAAAATTTATCACGGAAATATTTCAACTATAATACACGTGGAATATTACAGTGATCCTGAGACGCTCAACTTATTTACTTTCGTCCACAACTAAAATGTTTCTCAAGTTATGTACTGTACTGAGTAGCAAAAAATGCGTGTCTGAAAACCAACCAAACCATTGTTGAAACAATGATGTGATGACAATGCATGCCTCCATGACAATGTCACCCCGCGCAACATGCCCTAGTAATATTTGCGCAGTATTTACATAAAGACATACAACGCGAGAAACTGCACATGAACATTCACTCAATGTCAATGATAGCAAAGAACACCATTGCTAAAATGCATGTGGTGATTGCATGATTGCATGATTGCAATCTGGATTGTTTTACTGACTTTATGTAGACATCCAAGTTAGTTATTAGCCGGTCTTTACATTTAAAATCACACCGTTATTGCACGGTTTCGGGACAGTTTATACAGAGGCGTATGCCAAATATTACAAAAAGAATTAAACACACACACACATTACCATGATATTATTACCATACTTACGTTGCCAAACGATAGTGACATTTGTGCTGCTATTGTGTACTTTACTTGCAGATTGTATATATGGTTGAATTATTAGAAAACGCCACTAACGATGTTAAACTCTGAATCAAGAAAGCATAAACGATATACAACGTTGAAGTAAACCTATAGTATCTGTCTAGGTGACATATAAAACTTTTATGGCAAAACACGCTCTCCGCCACCGAGTGCACAAGTGGACACAGCGACTGTTGTCTGCCAATGAATAAGCTGTCACCCACTGTTCGCTGAAATGGTCAAAACTAACAATGATTCTGTACAGTAACGACGTTCCTTATAACCTGCGAATTCAAGGTTAACTTACATATCGTAGAATGTGTTTCCTGTAGTCAAGTTAAATACGAATCACTACAGCAGCAAGAGGGAAAGAATCAGCTCCGAATCCACACATGTCAGGCGTCTGCATGTACCAGTGTTTCCGGATGAGAGGTCTGTCGTGATTGGTCGAGCAAGTCCGAAGAAATCTGGGGTAGGTCTGGGGCAGTGGCCTGGGGATTCTCCCAAAAAAATTATGGTGGCATTTGGCAAGTTCTAATATTTATTCGGATGTAATAGAATCTCGTGCGTGCTTCCCCATGCAAATTTTTAAGTAAAGAAGAGATTTTTGATTTTCTTTCAAAATCGGTGACATTTCCGATTAAAACTCTTGCTTACTGAGAGTCAAAGAAAGTTCAAGCCCGTATTAGTAGTATATGTTCGAGTACAGCAGATCGCGGTTTTGAGGAGAAGGAATTTGGGTAAATTATAGCTGTGGAGTTGGTCACAAAATAATTTTTTTCGTAAGTGGAAAATGGGCTGAAATTTAAGGGAATTGGGAACCTAGCTTTCGCAAATTGGCATTCAGAAACGTAAAGCTGGTAAATTATCATGTATATTATTATACTATATAAAGAAGATTTTTAGGCGCATGCGTGCGTGCTTGCGCGCGCGTGCGTGGGCGCGTGCGTGGGCGTGTGCGTGGGCGTGCATGCGCGCGTGTGTGGGTTTGTGCGTGCGTATTTGCGTGTGCGTGTGCGCGCGTGTGCGTTTGTACGCGCGTGTGCGTGTGCCTACTGATCAGAGTGCGTGAGCGTACATGCGTATCCGTGTGCGTGCACATGAGTGCGTAAGCGCGCGCGTGTGTGTGCGTGCGTTCGTCTGTGTGTGCGGGCGTGCGGTGCGTTGCGCGTGTGATGTCGTAAGCGTGCGTTCCGGGTGCGTCGCGGTCGTGTACGTGCGGGCGGGCGGGCCACACACACAGCGTGCACTGCGTTGCGCTGACGTGCGCGCTGCGCGGTACGGGCGTGCGAGCGTGCGGCGTGCCGTGCGTGCGTGCGTGCGGTGCGTGCGTGCGTGCGTGGACGCATGCGCATGCAAGTCTGCCACCAGTAGTGTGTCGTGTGTGTTGTGTGTGTGTGTGTGTGTGTGTGTGGTGATGTGTGTGCCAAACACACAATGCCACACACATGGACCACACACACACACACAGCGACACACACGCGCAGAGAAGGAGAAGAGACCGAGAAGAAGAGAGAGGCAAGAACGAGAGAGAGAGAAAGAGAAGAGTAAAGAGCGAAAGAGAACAGAGAAGAGAGAAAGCAGAGAGAGAGAGAGAGAGAGAGAGAGAGGAGAGAGAGATGAGAGAGAGAGCGCGAGAGGGAGAGAGAGACAGAGAGAGAGAAAAGAGAGAAAGTCAATGAATTGCGAAATAATGTAGTGAATGTTTGAAAATCGTGAATGGATTTGAGTCACTGGAACTAAATTCTGCGTACTATTCCGACGTTCCAGCCCAGCAAACTGGGGACATTCTGCTCGAGGCTCTGCGATCACTCGGCCTTCTCCGTGCCACGCCTGGTCGTGTTTGTGTGGCGGCGGAGTATGGACGCCTCATCGAATGTGTACGCTAGCGAGCGACAGCCCCACGGCGTCAACGGCGTGGCCTCGCTCATCCTCGGAGTCGAATTTGCTCGCTTTGGCTGTTCCTGCAACCGATCGCAAGCTTGCGTGTGCGGAAGCGACTCGCCTCGCGCTGCTTCTGAAGGTTGATCTCGAGGAATATTGTTTTAGCGCGGCGGGCTGACGTTCGGGGCGATCAACTCTGTGAGGGGACCATGGCTGCTGTGCAATCTCTATATTCTGCCCAGGACAATGTACGCGGCTAGCACCGCGCTGCACGGCTGCTGTCCGGTGTTGTGTTAATGTTGCTCACGTCGTGCGTTCTCGCTCCCTTCCGTGCGAGGACACGCCATCTAGATGGCAGCCCTCGTCGATGAGAAGGGTGCATGTTACCGAAAATGGATACTTTCGAGTGCTCCTGCAACGGTGAACGTAGGCCTACATATCACCAAATCAATGTGCACGCAGCAAAACACACGTTCTTTATTTCAGTTTACGGTGTCCGGGAATATTTTACGCGAGTGTGTGAGTTTATGTAAGAATGCTGGCCTTAACTTATGTGGGCACCGACCGTCACTGCACGCACGGCGCTGCGAATTTAAAAGAATATCAGAACTGCGACTGTGTTTTTTACCCTGATTCGCTCAACGACTTAGGCAATTATAATCGTGTATGTAAAGTGCGTTATGTTAAGCATGATCAAGACTGAAGTTGATTTATTTATTAGGTGCGATATTCTCTTCTAGTCGTCAGCAATATACGTGAATCGTAGATTAGAATAAGCAATAAAATGACAGATTATCATCTTGTTTGTATTATCATAGAGACATTGTTCAACGTGCTGCACTGCTGGAATACAGTAGCGAAACTGAACTCATCCATGCCAAACGACGGTGGACTAATTAAATGCATGCGATATGAACACGCCAGATAAGGCAATCAAGTTTGTGAAATCTCGATCGTCGTGATAGTTCGTAATTGTAACTTACCGGTTTTGTGGCTAAAATTTCAGAAGGTAAAGTTGGACTGAATCAATAACCCTGCGAGTTTTCCCTAGTATCACGGGAAAGTAGGCTACACAGCGGGCTTCGCAGTACGTACGTTACTACGTGCCACCAAACGTATCATAGAACGTACATATTATTAATATATATATATACTAGTATATAGTATATATAGAGAGAGAGCAAGAAGAGAGAGAGAGAGACATATGTGTAGAAGAGGCCTACCACCTCTACGCGCGGCAGCAGCTCGCACTGAGCGCTACCACGGGATTTCAGCTGATGGCTGTTGTTGTTGCCATTATCAAATGTATATATAAAAAAAGAGTTGTGTTTAAGAAATTTCTACCGAAGTTAGCAAATGAAACCGACCTGAGTTTGCGGACTTGTGGACTTCGCTCAGGCCCTTCTTTAAACTTTTTACAGCTGATAAAAAGAACTGTGTTCTTCAGCGTGGTTTCTTCTCCTATATAGTATCCTAGGTCCCTGTCTTCCGAGGGCCGAATAATAAAGGGCGCCGAGGGGGGCGCCGGGTGTTCAGGGGGCGCTAAAAGGGGGCGGCCGTGTACAAAAGGGGGCGGCGCATCGTGTTTTGGGGGGGCGGGGGCGCTAAAAGCGGCTTATACATTTAAATGGCAAACAAACCATCAGCAAAATCCGCCGTGGTAGCCTTTTTTCATTCGAGCTGTGCCGCGTAGAGGCTGTTCAGGCCTCTTCTACACATATGTCCTGAAATTCACCCTGACCAGGACGGCCAGCAGCACCTATGGATCCGGGTA